TCTAAACTGTTAAGGTAGTCTAAACTGCTCCTGTGTTGTAGGCTCCAGTGGTAGAAGGAAGTAGCGGCCTCAGCCTCCCGTTCCTTCAGTGTCCTTTACGTTCCTAGGCTGGCCATGGTGCATTTCCTCAGAATAGATATGCTATGGAGGTGAATGTGATGGTGGTGACACCTTTTGGCTGTTGAGAATCCTACACATGTGCTATTTATTCAGAGAAACAGATTTGCAAGTGTGTTGTAAAGCAGCTTGGACACTCTAATAGTCCTTGCCTATTACTGGGATCCTGTTTCCTCTTAAGAGTGTTTAACTCCTGTTTTCAGGTCTTGGGACCTAACCCGCTTTATTCCACCTTCTCTAATACTACTCCATTTGAAGTGGGAGCATATTTTCACTGACTCCTTGAGTTCTTAGAAACTAGCACAGTTTTGTGGTTTATGATTACTTAATGAATTCGGTTAACTTTTGCTGTCTTTAAGCCATGGGTTTAAAGGGGTGAAAATTAGAGTCATGTGGGGAGTTTAAATAACATATGTGTCTGAGGTCCCTTCCCTGGAAATTAGAGGTAAAAGTATACATTTCAGCTAGGGCCTGAGCAAATTTGTGTTACAGAAAGTCTTCAGGTGATTATGATAGGCCTACCTTATTAAAAACCGCTCCTTTAAAATATTGTGTATACTATTTAAATAAAATGTGCTTGGTAATCACATTCTCTTGTCTCAGTGAGTCAGTCACAAACAGAACTTTAAGAAATAACCTCTGACTCATGAACGTGAGTCTGTAGCAGTAAATATTCTCTGACATGGGAGTGGCTGCAGACAAGTATGTTTCTTGGATTCAGAGACACGTATTTTTCATGTTACTAAAATTGAGCTGTGACTTATAAACAGTGTGTATATTTACAGTGCTATTGTCTTCCCACCCAAGACTATTACTAAAATAATACTGATGTGTCTTAAAACCAGTGACATCTTTGAATCAAGGAAATGTAGCATTTTATCATGTGGCTATACTATAAACTTCTTATTTGTGGACATTCAGATTATTTATAATTTTTCATATTCATGCTGGGATCCTAGAATTTTTCCTTTAGGATAAGTTTCTATATGCGAAACTGCTTGGTTAAATATGTGCAAATTTTAAGGCTTTTGATAACACCGACTTCCTTAGAACTCTTTTGGGGGTATCTTCTGCTTTGGCTTATATTCATTTTCTTTGTTTTTCTGTTGCTAACTCTAGTTCAGTAAAACGATGAATTTAATTCAAGTTCTTCTTTGTCTTTAATAGGCTTTTTGATAACCACTTTTATTTCATTGCTACTTTGTCATGACTAGTTATCAGCTTTGAAGAAACTAGCCATCATTCCCAATTGTTTATTCTTCACTCTATTTTGGAGACATTTATCATAATGTAAAAATTTCTTTTGTTCTTAAAATTCTGTATTTCACACAGTTAACATCACTCTTAATCATAAAAGACTGAATGTGTTCCCCTTAAGCTTAGCAATAAGGGTGTCTGCTCCCATCCCTTCTATTCAACATTGTATTGAAGGTAAAGTAAATAGGGCAATTAGGTCAGAAAATGAAGTAAAAGGCATTTAGATGGAAAGAAAGAAGGAAGTCTATCTCTAGTCACAGATGACATGATCTTGTGTATAGGAAAACCTAGGGAATCTACACACAAAAATATTGTAACTAAAAAAAATGAATTAGCAGGGTTGCAGGATACAAGATAAACATAGAAAAGTCACTTGTATTTCTAGCAATGACCATCCCCAAATGAAATTAGGATAACAATTCTATTTATAATCTCATTAAAAAGAAAATAATAGGAATAAACTTAAAGCTTGAAATTGTATATTGAAAACTAAAAGAATTTTGGAAAAAAAAGAAGCTCTGAATAAATGGAACATCATGGGTTGAAAGACTTAATATTGTTAAGATGGCAGCACTCTTCAAATTGCTCTACAAATTTAATCCAGCTCCTAACAGAATCCTAGCTGGCTTTTATTATTATTATTATTATTTTTAATTTTTTTGCAGAAATTGACAAGTTGACCTAAAATTGATGGGCAAATGCAAGGAACTCAGAGTAGCTAATATATCATTAAAAAAAAAAAATAGGTCAAAGTTGGAGGATTTACACTTTCCCATTCCCAAACTTATTACAAACTGCATGATTAAGACAGTGTGGTACTGACATAAAGATAGGTGCATAGATCAATGGATGTAACGGAGAGTCCAAAAATAAACCTTTACATTTATGACACATTGATTTTCAACTAGGGCACCAAAATGGTAACTCGTAACTCAACAACTAAAAGATAAGTAACCTAGGAAAAAAGTGGGTAAATGATTGGAATAGACATCTACCCAGAGAAGATATACAAATGGCCAATAGGCATTTGAAATAAGCATAATAAGCATGTGAAAAGTTGCTCAACATCATTGTTAGTAGAGGAATGCAAATTAAAACCACAGACACTTCTTCACACCCAGTAGGATGGCTACAAAGACAGTAACAAGTGTTGCTGAGGATGTGGAGACACTGGAACCTTCATTAGTTGCTGGTGAGAATGTAAAGTGGTGCAACCACTTTGAGGAACAGCTTGGCAGTTCCTCAAAATACTGCACATAGAATTACCATGTCACCCAGAATAGGCAAATCTATACAGACAGAAAGTAGTTGAGTCATTGCCAGGTCCTAGGAGTGGGAGGGGATGGCAGGTGACTTGCAGTGGGTGTGGTACTTCTTTTTGAGGTGATGGAAATGTTCTAAAATTGGATGATGGTGATGGTTGTACAACTTTGTGAAGGTACTAAAACAATGAACTGTATACTTTTAAAGTGTTAATTTTATGGCATGTGAATTACGTATCAATAAAGCTATTATTTAAAAACAGAATATGGCATGTGCTAAAGGACCTAAGTGAGGTCTTATTGTGCTAATCAGCCGTTGTCTTTAGTGGAGACCATGGCAAATAGATGGCATATGCCATGTGATGCCTGCCTTCTTTGCAAATGGGGCATAACACCAATTGTTCATGGCTCCTTTTTCTGTGAGTCCAAGAGTGGCTTTAGGATACTTCTCAAAACTGCTTTCAGTAACTCCTGGAAATATACTGTCAAAGATCAGATGAAAGACATCATGGTGTTTCAGGAGACTACTAATAGTTCCCTGGTGTTGACGGATACAGCAAGACAAGGCTCGAGATCTCTCTCTTCTTAAGGTTAGGGGTTTGAGGAGAGCACGGTGTGTCAGTGGGAGAGCTGGGGAGAACCTGGGCCCAGCTGGTGTGCCACATAGAGTGCAGTCAGACTGGAGAGGTATGTGGAAGGAAGCACAGCAGTTGGAGGAAGGAGTCATGGTGTTGCTTATAGATGATGGCAGTGGGATGCGTAGAGAATTGGGACATCGGTGGACTGAGACCAGCTTTGGGGTGACTGGATAAAGAGGGGTGCATGACATCAGAAAAACAACTGTGACATTCTTGGAATGTGGTGTTCAGGAAGCCAAGGAAGGGATGGGGAGTTAGAAAGAGGGCCTGGTGTACAATTGTGATGCACAGGGAAATGGGAAGTTTCTTGAGATAGTCCACCGTACTTGAGAATAGTTTCAGTCAAGTGGTGATGGAAGGAAACTGGGGCAAGTCGAGAGGTAAACTGGATGTGAAAAGGTTTCCGATGGTGCAGAGGGCAGACTAAGGGAGGAGAAGACTTGATGTGCTCAGGGAGAAGTGGTTTGTAGGGCCAAGGAGGCTCCTGACTGGGGGAGAGCACACCATGTGGCTGAAGAGAGCTGGCAGAGGAGCTGATAAGGAGTGAGAGACACAGGCTGTCAGGTTGGTTTTGAATGGGAAAGAGACTAGAAGAATCCATGTTTGTCATGCCTGTCGAAGGGCTTTTCATATAGGACACTTGAGGAAAATGCTGTTTCAGTAAATGTAAGAAACATTCTCCAGCAGCAAACTTAATTTGGTATATTAGTTATACAAAATACAAATAAAAAAGATTATTGTGCTTTCAGTGGAAATTCATAGTGTTCTATTATTTATAGTTTAGACTGAAGCAAGTTATCGGTAATAATAAGACCATTGGAGAAGTTTCTTTATTTAACTATGGCGAGATTGGCATAAAGAATATTCCTGTAACATGTCAGAAAACATGCAGCCTTTAAAAATGATGGGCATTAGCTTCATATTAGTGGTATAATGGACTTCACAATAAATTATGAGGATATAAAAGTTTTTTTCTAGATAGCACAATATTAATATAGTCAGATTTTTACTTAAAAAGTGAGATGAAAGCACTATAATTGTTCATTCCACTGCAGTTATATAATAATGCACTAGGTAAGAAAATTGATAAGTATGGTTATTTTATCTGGAAATTGTTTTGTGTTCCTGAATACTTTTATTCTGTAAGAAAAATTTAAGTACAGAAATTACGTATAAGATTTTTATGTCAGTCATTGTAAATTTTGTATTTGAATTTCCCAGTATTCTAAATATAATTCACGGGTTTATTGAAGATTGTTAATTTCTTTCTTTGGGTTACTAGATATTTTCCTCTTTTTTTTTTTTTTTTTTTTTTTTTTT